GAAGGAAGGAAGGAAGGAAGGAAGGAAAGAAAGAAAGAAAGAAAGAAAGAAAGAAAGAAAGAAAGAAAGAAAGAAAGAAATACCATAAACAATAACCGAGAAGAAGAATAAAACCTACAATACAATTATTTTTACCTTCTCTCCTTTTGATCCCTTTAGACCACGAACCCCATCAGCTCCCTAAAGGACAGGACCAGAAAGAGAAGGATTATAAAATAACAGAAAAAAATGCATAATAAAATGAAGAAAAATCTGTTTCTTTAAAAACACAAAAATAATCCTACCTTTACACCCCGAGGGCCAGGATAACCAATAGGACCTTGAGGACCCAGTGGACCCTGCAGCAATTAGATACATATTTTAGAGAAAAACTGAACATTCAATGTCTTAAGTTGAAGTTAGGTTCTGTCTTTTTCAAAACAACTTTGCTTAGGTATCTGTGTTAAATATACATGCATGGTTAATAGTTACTAGTTGCTTCTTTAACAAGATTCAGACTTACTGTGCCTAATATTTTAATGTACAACAATCAACTCAGGCAACAGGTTCCAGAAACTATTTTTATTCATATATATATCTACAGATAAAGTCCCTGCAGACTGGAACATAACTGTCAAATTATTAAATGATTGCAAATTTTTGGGGATGTCGAAAATGTTAGTAATAAACACTGAATGAATAAATAAAGGATAAGCTAGAATAGAAAATCAATTATCTCTGTTGATTAAATAACTGAAGCATTAAACTGATGATCAGGCATAAAGTCATGTGCTGCAAAAACTGATCTAAAATAGCTATAATATCTCAGAATTGATTTATTTTGCCCTTAATTTGAGCAGGTAGAGATACGATCAATGCAATAAGCACGTTTGTTAGATTAAGATAATTAGGTATTCTGAACTTAAAATAAGATAATTGAGTTATACACATAAAACATCATATTTCATAAGCAAGTTATCTTATTTACCATCTCAAAACAATGGAAATTTCAATTATTTACACTTTTCTAATATTTTGTTTTGCAGTGTGACTACTGAAAAGTAAATTAAATAAGCAATGATGGGTTCTTCAGCACAGTAGTTCTTGAATGGTACATATTAGACAGCAAAATAAAATGTACCCCTAATAGCTGGGGTGTTAAAAGCAGGAAAAAAATTCCATCCTCAGTATTTAAGCAAGTTTGACTTGGTTAGTGAGAGAATCTTTTACAAGTAGAGCTGTTTTTAGGTTCTCTGCATCTCTGATGATCAAAATCGAGCAAAAGTTATCCAAGGAATGGGTAGGTATGATGATTAATGTTTTCTTTAACACCACATAAATTACTGGGCTCCTTTGCATACCTTACTGGAGGAACAAGAGGAACATGAATGTGTTATAAGATGAAGACAGGTCTGCAGAAGCAGATGCTTTAGGCAGCTATTGGTAATCCCCATGTACAGCCAAACACATCACTTATTTCAGTCTTTTTGCTAACTATCGACTTTCTTTCATGGAAACTATGTTCTTTGTTGGCTCTACTGAATGATGCACCTTGTCATGCAAGCATGATGATAAGACCTCCAAACTCCTCAGATCCCAATCTACTAGGTAATTTAAGAGGTCCTCCAGCTAACATACTGGTGCCAATTATCAAAGCACAACTTCAAGGATTTATTTAGGTCCATATTTGGGAGGAACCTCATCATTTTATATTGAATTATCAGATAAAAATCAATTTATCCTGTGGCTCTACCTTGCTTAAACCTCATCCTAAATACAAAGGTTATTCTGAGATATTTTCTCCATCTGTGATGCTATAGACTTATACTGCTGGAGGACATAGGGACCGTTTTTCATCATTTCATCTCAATTCTCCCATTCTGCAGTATGGTTTAGTTCAATCTCTGATGTTATGCTCTCTCTTCTTTTCTCTTGGTAGCTTCATCTGGTCAATTCCTGTTTGGCTGTGACTCCATCCTGGAGAGAAATATCAGCTGTGCTGCTGCCATCAACACGTTTGTTTATAGATGTTCGAGATCGGCCTGTTTTTCAGTCCTGTCTCTCTGACTGTGACTGGCTTCATGTGCTCTAGTCGTCCTCTGACGTGGGAGCTGGCTCATCTGCTTGTCTGTGTGTTTCCTTTAACAGTTGCCTTTTGTATCTCTGCTTCTTTCTGTATCTCTGCTTCCGTCAGTCGGCCTCGGCAGATGGCCGCTCACACTGAGCCTGGTTCTGCTGGAGGTTACTTCCTGTTCAAAGGGAGTTTTATCTCCACGGTCGCTACAAGCATGCTCGGTGTGAGGGATTGCTTCTGAGTAAATGTCTCTAAACAATCAGCTTTGAATAAATTTGACTGTATGATCTGGTTGAATTGTAAAGTGTCTTGAGATGACGTGTTTGGAATTGTTGCTATATAAATAAACTTAATTGATTTTAATTGTCTTTTATAGTCTCTTACCTGTGAACCTTTTTCTCCAGGTGGACCCTCCTTACCGGGATGACCCTGAAAAGAATGTCAAACTAATCAGAAATCATATAATCAATGATCAATAATCAGCAATGTTTTTTTTCCCATCACCCAGAACAACGTGATGTTTTGTAGCAACTGTTCAGAGTTAATTGAGATCTGCTTTTCCCACCAGTAGGAACTGTTAGAGCTGCACTGAATTCAAAATCCTAATTTAATCCTGGAGAAACCATGAATAAAACATCAAACACTTTTCTGTGAACAAGCCTTTAGATCTTGGTGGGCTAATTTCTCTCAAGCCCAAATGTCTCCTAATAGTTTGCAAAAATACTTAAATTCTTACTTTTAATAACATTAAATGATCTATTTGCAGTCACTTGTGTGTAGCTGAATATTGGTGTTTTAAAGCAGAAAGTCATATTCTGAGCCTCCCTCTACGTCAGAAAATGTTCAGCTGTGAAGAACGACTGGCACCTCTTATTGGAGGTGTTAGAAGGAGGAGGAGAGCTGTTAGCTGAGGGTGTTTTCCTCCTCAGCTGATCCCTCTGTGCAACAACAAACCATAATAACAAACCCTTGAGAAGTTCCAGAGGCCCAGGTTTACTGCATGTAATATTATGTAATATTTTTATTAAATACAATCGAAATAGCTAATAATTTCTTTAGTGTCCAAATTAGAGATATATTATATATGAGATCCTTTGTCATCCAGTCATTTATCCTTGGCCTGTGTGATTTGTGCAGTTTATAACAGAGTCACCTACTGTAATGTTGTTTGAAGGTCAGCTACTCAATGAAAAATGTTTAATAATGTTTAAAAATGAATGTTTTTCCATCTGAAAAACCTTTTATTTCTGGTTTGAAATCATTAATTTCAATTGACCCAGAATTAAAACATTCCTACATTAGAAGAATCATCTAAAATAATTAGCTGCTGAGTAAATATTGACTTTGTGTCAAAGGTAAGAGTGTCAAATTTGCAGGTTTTCTCACACATAAGTGTGACCTCATCAGCTGGCTATTGCAAAATACGTGGTTAGCCCTGTATCATGAGCAAGGCTGTCCTTACAATTAAAATGGTCACTTAATGTGCCAGAATAGCAATGGCAATATGAGAAAGCAATTTGGATCATTTTCTTTGAATTGACTCAGATATCTAATGGAGACCATTTTAAAATCTCTAAGGTCGTTTTGGGTGTTTTAGCTCGTTAAATGTCAATAAATGGATACGGCCTCTGCTCCTCATTGTAATAGCTAAAGGTTGCGCTCTTGTATCATGAGCTATAAAATACTCTCTCTGTGGTCAGTAGACTAACTAGGAGCATACAAAAGCTTTATGTACTTAGCCTTTGCAATAAATACAATTTTAGATTTACATCAGTGTACATTTATGGTTTCAAAGTCAAATCAAATCAGTTAAAGCTGGAGTAAAACGATACATTTAGCTGTAACAAACCAGAGCTATGTTTTCTCAGTCCACTAACTTCCAGCTGTAAAAAAAATATTTTTTTCCCTCCAAAATTATACAAAAATTCCAACTTTTAAGTTTGAATTAATTTTAAGCTTTGAGCAGACTCCATATTTCTAGCATTTTATAAAATCCAAATCTAAGTTCAAACATTTCTGTAAATCTTCCAGCTAAGTTTTACTTCATCATCAAAGTCCACCATGCTCAGACAAAACTTATGGCAGCAGGTTAGCAGACAGAAATGTTAAAATGTCTGGCTCTCCTGCAAATTTAATCTGTGCTTTTAAAAATAATGGATTTTTTTTGTTGATAGTTTCATCCATAAACTTTTTTCTGCAGAGTGACAACACTAGAACTATAACAGATAAGTGGATTTTAATCAATCAAATGACAACAGAACAGGGGATACAGATGCTATTAATAGACTATTTGTATTCATCACTAAATTTCGCATGCTGAATTTTTAAATGGGGATAAAAATATGACCAAAAAAAAACAACAAAGAAAAATGCTTGACTCCCTGAACTTCAACATGAGGTTACATGTTAAAACATGAAGCACTGAAGCACAAAATAGGACGACATATAAAAAATAAACATTTCTATTTTTATTTTCTGTAGAATTTTTTCTTTTTGGTTGTACCCAAAATGGCCCTTCAAATCTCTAAATAATACAAAATTTTCAAGTAAGGGAGTAAAGAGGTTAAGGAACGCTCTAAAGTGTCTCTGGAAACAGAAGCTACAGATAAATCTCAATAAATTACTGTTGATTGCACATTTTTGTCCTCCACTTAATTTTCCTGCATTAAGCTTGCAGACAGCTCTCTGTAAACAGCTTCTTGAGTTATAAACGTTTTTGTGACTTTGTGTGGCAGTAAATGTCAACCTAGAGTTGGGAGGGAGAGTCATTATGTTACCATAGCAACACTCTGCTTTACATTTTTATTTTTAGGTAATGTTAGTTCATTTTAGCATTAAACTGCTAAAAGTAATTAAAGGTTTTTTTTTTATATTTGGATTAAATTACTCAAATATATACATTTTTCTGGTGATTCTTCTTTTATGTACCTTTACCAGTATAGTGAAGGGGGCTTAACTATATTATCTTAAATAGGGGATGTGTTTGTGTGTGGTACGGGGATAAGGTGAGCACGTACAGGAGGTCCATCAGCTCCAGGTAATCCAGGAAGCCCTGACCTGCCCTGAGGTCCCTGAAGGAGGAGGAGGAGACAAACATAAGGGATGACTACGAAAAAAATAATCAAATTGGTTCGGTAGCATTTCATATACAAATCAACTCTCTGGGCCAGACAGAACCAAGATGTGCTTAAATCATTGAACTGGAGTTTCTGCAACTACAGCTAGAACAGATCATCACTGCCTTGCATGGTATCGATCCAGACAAATGCTGAACCTCTAGTAATAATGTCCACTTTGAACACATAGTAGTTTATTGCAAAGAAACATGTATCTTATACTTTTTTAATAAGAAAATCAAAGAAATGTGCAAATTCATAAGAAGAAAAGACAACATACCTTTTCTCCAGGCGGTCCGATCGGACCTTGAGGACCAGGAAGCCCCTAGAGAAACAGAACGCACACGTATGGAAATGAGCACATTGCTGCAGCAGCAACAAATCCACACTAACCCCCACCACCGCCAAAAAGAAAAAAAACACAAGCTGAGTAAACTGAGGAGTTTCAAGCTGTAAATAGTGGAGCAGGTACAGAACTGTGTGTAGCTGTGTTTGTCTGCGGCTCATTTAAATTCAGTTTGTAGAAGCGGGTGCATTTAAATATTTGTGGATGAGCTCCTGTGTGTGTGCAGCACAGAGTGGCGACCTGATGTATGCTGGTGCTTCTGCATACACATCAGTGTGACGGCACTAACAGGTGGGGAGGCTGTGCAGGAGGAGGATGCTTGTCGCTGTCTGAGAATAAGCCTTTGGCTAAAATATAAGCTAAGAAATGTGTGTTTTTATCAGTTAAAAACAGCTTTTAGCATCATTGTTACTCTATGTAATACGAATTAGTTTGCTGAGTATCTAATTAATCTACCTAATGTTTCGACTAACTAGAAATTCTGGGGGGAAAAAAATCTTAATTTCTATTCTTAATTTCTATTAAATAATCCCATTAAAAAAATACAATTACAATTAAAACCTGCAGTACATATTTGAGGCTTCTTTTCTGGATCCCTGCATCTGGCCCTAAAATTACAATGTTTGATTATCTATGTCTGATTTCTTTACCTGTGTTCCAGGGATCCCCTGCTGGCCGGGTGGGCCTGGTTCCCCTTGTGGGCCCTTAAAAAAAAAAGAGATCAGGGTGAAAATTTACTCAATATGTGTTTATATTAACTTTTTGTAGTCTAAGGAGGGTTTCTATTTTGCAAAATATGAATTAAAGCAAGAAAATATGTAGTTAGAAATAAGTTTGCTTGGTAAGACTTTTGTACATGAGTTTCAATCATTTTACTCAATCCACCATTCCATCTTGCTTTTGATTTTGAGACTTTTATTGTATATTTAATATAAAAGAGGAAAACCAAAATCCAAATTCTTATCCTCTGCTTCCTCTTTTAAACTTAAACTGCTCTGCCTGTGGACTGCTAGGTGCTGGACTTGACCTTTAACCTCACATCTGTGCATCCTGCAGGCACTTTTTAACCCCAGTCACAGGCAGTCCAATCTAAATAAAAAGTCAGGAGACCTCAGCCAGCACCCTGAGAGATTCACAGCCTCAGGAGCCGATAAGGGAACATTAGAGTGGGGTGCTGAGTGCGTACCATGTTTCCTTTGGGACCTGGTGGTCCATCAACTCCGGCAACGCCCTGAGGAGGAGAGATGAGCAAAGATATGTCATATTGATTTCAAGAGCTGAATTGTTGGACAAGGGCAGACGGTTGATGTCATGATACGCACTGGCACTCCGGGAGGTCCTGGAGGACCACGAGGTCCGAGCAAACCTCTGGGACCCTAAAAAACAGCAGAAAAAACAAAACAAAAGCAACAACAAAAAGAGTTTAAATAGAATAAAATCTAATAAAGGCTGAAGTTTGGATTTAAATCAGCAGGCACACTGTTTAATATTGGACGTGGATAAAACCGTCTTACACTCTCTCCAGCCAATCCTCTGGGACCAATCTCTCCATCTTCGCCCTTAAGAAAAAAAAACAAATTGATCCAGAGTTAAACCCTGCTGCAGTTTCTGACAAATTAAGCCAAAATAAAAACACCAGTCTGCCTTTATATTGGACAGAGATTGAATCGGAGGCTTTTACACCTTCAAGGTAGATGCGGTGTGGCAGTTTAGGGTATTTAGTTAAAGGGGAGGAAAGGTTAAATACCAACTCTCCTCCTCCTTCTCAGTTCATAGTGTCCTCCCATTTGTTGTGCCTGGGGGCTGAGGCGGTGGAGCACAGCTGATTTAAGCAAAGCTGTCAGGGACCCTCCTCTATGGGGCAACTTTAAAGTGTTTGAACAAAGATGGAGTACTCACTCTCTGTCCGTCCTCTCCTGGGGCTCCTGGTGGTCCCATTCGCCCCGGCTCCCCCTGAGAAAGATGGAAGACAAGTTTATTTTCGCAAACTAATTACTAGAAGCCTAGTTTAACATTCTACAACTATAAGTATTCTAAAAAAGGGTGTAACTATGCAACGAAAGCAGGTGGGGACACTTTAAGGGTGGTGGCTGATGGACCTACAGTTATTCAACCCGAACGCTTTCATTAGGTTTTTGTATTTTACAAAAATTAACTCAAACATATATTAATTGCATACTTTCCTATTGTTGAGAACACAAGAAAATCATAACACACTGCTATTTATATATGTTAGAGAGATGCCTTTTGGTGCATTACATATATAGGGCCCAAAAACATTAATGTATGAAAAAGTAAAGAATAACAGCTGTTTCCGATGCCAAAATCGATATATCATGCATCCCTAGAAGTACAATTTCAATTCCATCCATTCAGAAAAATCTGGATAATGCTGCATTTTAAATATAGAATAGCATACTTTTCATGTAAACTTTCTGGTAAATTTGGAGATATATTTTATTGCATGTTGCATATTCCAGTAAATCTGTTTCCCCTTTAAATCTGCAGTTCTCTGTATTTCTCTCTGTGCTCTGTTTAAAAAAAGATTTATGAACCTCTTTACTAATATAATGATGCAAAGAACCAAATTTGAAGATATGTAGAAGCTCTGCAGTCTGATTCTATCTGTACAATAAGAAAACGTGTTAATTTTAACCTGTAACTGGGAGTCATGGTCCTCTGAGAAACAAAGCTTTTTTTTAACTAGTAAAGAAGAACAAACTTGTATAATAATAACTTGTATAAATTTAAAATCTGTTGCCACTTTTAGCTGAAAAAGCTAATTTTGTCTAATAAATAGATTTTTCGGTGACTTCTCTAATTATTTTAACCAACCTGTCTCCTAACTTTTATTTAAACATCGAAGTAGCTGCTGGTTAATATTCACTGAGTGCTGCTGTGCGTCTTTCCTACAACCACGTAGCGGCTCTGCACGCAGTGAAATGTGACGGCAAATCAGATG